GCCGCCGCCGCCGCCGCCGCCGCCGCCACCACCACTACCACCAACGCCACCGAGGCCGGGCCCCTCCGCAAGACTTCCCTCAAGAAGGGATCACGGCTGGTGGAGAAGGTGGGCCTGGAGGGCATCTGTCTGTCTCCGAAGGCTCTGGCTCCTGGCCTTTGTCCCCATAGTCCGTGGCCCTCACTGGGGCCTGCCGGAAGGCGGTGCATGGAGGGAGAAGGCAGGGCTGAGGACGGGAAAGCCACAGACCTCCGGCAAGTCTCTAAGCGGAGGGCCTGTGCTTGGTCAGCCCTGCTGGCTCTGGAGGGCTCCCCAAGTGGCGGTGGTAGACGGAGAGGTCAGGAGGACGGTGACTGTCTCCCCCATGCTCCTAGCTGCTCCCACCGCAGCGCAGCTGGGGCAAAGGGCGCTTTGGCGCTCCCAAGCCTACGGGCCTTCCTACCCACCCTCCTGGCCTCACACAGTGCTGTGAGATTTCCGAGGGGCGAGAAGACACGTAGAATGGATGATTCGGTGACATGCAGGGATAAAGGGTGTTTAAGGTGGCCCTCGAAGAGAGAATGAGGAGGTTGAGGGTGGCAGAAATACCAGGATGTGGAGGTGCCAAGTTGGGAGGAGCTGAGGCAGAACTGGGGTTGCTAGCCCAAGACGAGGGTTTGTGCATAGCAGGGTGGGGTGGGCGAGCACATCCGGGCCATGCTGTTTGAGGTAAAGCTATCCACATTGGGAGAGGAAGGGAGAGAGACTGTGAGGATGTACGGATGAGGGTTCCATGGACAGCTGGAGTTGGGGGCCAGCCAGCCGGCCAAGTAGATGACCCCAGTGTACTTCTGTGGTCTTGAGCAGCGTCAGGCCAAGTTCATGGAGCACAAACTCAAGTGCACGAAGGCGCGCAACGACTATCTGCTCAGCCTGGCCAGTGTCAATGCTGCTGTCAGCAACTACTACTTGCATGATGTCTTGGACCTCATGGATGTGAGTGCTGGGTGGACAGGTGGGCGGTGGTTGCGGTGCCCAGTGCATTGGGACCCGCCCGAGCTGTGTCCTTGCTTTCTCCTCAGTGCTGTGACACAGGGTTCCACTTGGCCCTGGGTCAGGTGCTTCGGAGCTACACAGCTGCTGAGAGCCGCACCCAAGCCTCCCAGATGCAGGGCCTGGGCAGCCTGGAAGAGGCGGTGGAGGCCTTAGATCCTTCAGGGGACAGGGCTAAGGTGCTGGAGGTGCACGCAGTCGCCTTCTGTCCCCCACTTCGATTCGACTACCAACCCCACGAAGGGGATGAGGTGAGGGTCACTGCCCCTACCCCTTAATGCCCCCGGCATCGATCCCAAGGGCTTCGTGTTATCTACTCTTCGTCGTAATGCTAGGTAAGTCGAATGAATTCCACTTGGATAGGAGTTGAAACTCATGAATGCGGCTTATTTCTCAGACCCTCATTCAATGGCCTTGAGGCAAATGAGGTCTCCCCACTTGCATCTGAAGCAAACAAACTTCTGCAGCTCACTGCAGTTCAGCCAGCGAATGAACACCCGTCACAAATGGCAGACATAGCAAAAATATCACCAGCGTGGACACCAGGTGGTAGGTGGGCATATAACTGTCTATATGCTCTTCTTCCAATTGTCCTATATGTTTTTGACATTTCATAATGCAAACTTGGGGGGAAATAAACCATACAAGCCGTAAATTATAACTAGGCATTTTTTCCCTTGCCTCTGAGCTGTTTTTTCCTTTGCCAGTTTGTCCTGATGGGCTTTGTGCACGCATTGGGATTACATGGGGATTTTAGTTATTTAATCTGTATTTTGACCAAAGTGGTAGTCGAAAAAGTCAAAGGCTACTCAAGGTTCACAATGGCACACGGCCATTCTCTGACTTACCCTTTCTGTTCCCAATTCCCACTCCTTAGAAACAGGCACTTCCCAGTCTTCTAGCTGCTGTTTCTGGAGCTGTCCTCTGGGTGTTCAAATCACTCAGCAGGCCGCTAGTTGCTTTTCAACTTTCCCTAGGCTCTACCGACTTCCCTCCATGGATGATCAGGGCTCAGCCCCACCACCATCTCCCTGTAAGAGTCCCCTCAGTCCCGTCCACCACACCTGGAGTGTGTCTGAGAATGTCTGTATTCTATCCTTGAAATTGACTGGTAGTTTAGCTGGGTATAGAATGCAAGATGGAGAATCATTTTCCTTTCAGTATTATAGGTGAGAAGTCCAATGCCATTCCTACTTCTGAACCTTCGTATATGACCTGTAATTTTTCAGGGTGAAGCTTTCAGTATAGTCTCTTAACTGCCTTGTTGTAAAATTTTATGACCCTATGCTTTGGGGACCCTTTCTCCTTCGTGGTGCTGGGCAACCAGCGGGCTCTGTAAGTCTAGAAAGTTGTGTCCTTAGGTTTGCGGCTCATGTTATTTCTTTGATAATTTCCTCCCCTTAATTTTCTTTTCTTTCAAGATTCTTGTAATTAAATGTTAGAACTTACAGATTGACTCTCTAGTTTCCTTTTCTCTTTCCTCTTTCCCATCTCTATGCCTTTTAAGAGATTTCTTAGAGATTTGTTCGACGATCTCTTCCAACCCCTTATGGAATTTTATTTAAAAATTTACTTTCACATTTTTTTGTGTCCGAGTTCTGTTTTTTTTTTCCCCCAAAAAAATTCCTGTTTAAAATAACCATTTGTTCTTGTTTCATGGATACATTAGCTTCTCAAATCTTTCTGAAATGTTTATTCTTGTTTTCCTGACATTTTTCTCTGTTCTCTGCATTTTCTCTCTATTCTTCCAGTATTTTTTAAAGCTTGCTTTGATCTTCCTCTTCCGTTTTAGAGCTTCCCTGAAATGGCAGACTTGGCCATCAGTTCATATTTAAGAAGAAGCACTGAGAGCTGGGTTAGATATGTGATGTGTGTAAGCAGAGCTGGTCAACAGTGCGCTTTCCCACAGGGTGGCTGCACAAGGACTCAGATCATTGCTGCGAGGGGGACCAATACCGTAGGGAATTGGGGTGCATCTCAGTAAAAGGGGAAAACTGTAGGACTTGGGCTAGGACGAGGGGGTTTGGGAAAAGGGCTTGACTCTAGCTTGGATGCTGTCAGGAAGCAGGGGGAACTCTGTGTGTCTTAATAAGTGTTATCTAGAAGGCAGAGTGGGGGATGAAGGGAGGCTAAAGCTGTCATTGGCGAGGAAGCAGCAGTCACTCATATGAGCCGGGACAGAGGGAGGCTTGCTTTTTTTGTTGTTGCTAAAATAATTGGGGTTATTAACATTGGTTAATAAAATCAAATATCTTTCAAGTGTACGATTCAATAATGCATCATATGTATATTGCGCTGTATGTTCACCACCCAAAGTTAAATTTCCTTCCGTCACCAAATATTTGACCCCCTTTACCCCTATCTACCTCCCCCTTTCCCTCTTCCCTCTGGTAACCACTGTCCGTGTCCGTGAATCTCTGATTGTCAATTTCGTTTGTTGCTTTCAGTTTTATATCGCACGTATAAGTGAAATCATATGGTTCTCAACTTTCTCTGGAGTTTGCTTATTTTTATGGCTTGAACAATGGTCTTGTTTTTGTCTGCACTCAGACATGATTACAAGGTGGTCTTGTTTTTGTCTTCACTCATGATCACAGAGGGGCCTTGTCTGATGTTGATGCTCTGTGACATTCCTTATGTTCGGTGGGATGACACCAAGACCCAGCTGTGAGCGCCTGGCCAGCCCCAGATGGCGATGGCCACATTGCTCTTTCTCATCAGTAGAGAGTTTTGTCCCCTTCTTCAGCTGTGACTAGTATCCCTGAGTCCAGAATCCCTCTGATTTATCTTTTCCAGAGAGTAAATCTCTAGTTTTTGCTAATTGTGTGGGTTTTGAGGGGGTCGGATATTTGGTGACGAAAGGAAATTTCAATGCTCCCTACGGCCTGGAGAGACTTTTTTGTTATCATTGTGAAAATATATACATAAGATGTATCATTTTAAACATTTTTAGGTGTACAGTTCGGTGGCATTAAGCACATTAACCATCACCACCGTCCATCTCCGGAACTTTTTAATGTTCCCAAACTGAATCTCTGTCCCCATTAGACACTTAACCCTACATTCCCCTCCCCCTGGCCCCTGGTACCAACCACCCTACTTTCTGTCTTCATGAATTTGACTCCTCTAGGGACCTCGTACAAGTGGAATCATGCACTATTTATCTTTTTGTGACTGATCTATTTCATTTAGCACCATGTCTTCAGGCTTCATTCATGTTGAACATGTATCAGAATTTCTTTCCTTTTTAAGGCTGAATAATAGTCCATTGCGTGGATAGACCACGTTTTGTCTATCTGTTCCTCCATCCATGGACGCTAGGGTTGCTGCCCCCTTTTGGCTACTATGAGTACTGCTGCTGTGAACACGCATGTACAGATATCTCTTTGAGACCCTGCTTCTAATTCTTTGGGGTACATACCCAGAAGTGGAATTGCCAGATCATCTGAAGAGTCTATGTGTAGTTTTTCGAGGAGCAGAGAGCAGGGCGTGTTTAGTTAGCCTGCTGTGAATAAGTGAAGTCCTCACGGTCAGTTTTAAGTTGATGTCAGAGTTCTCTAGATGTTTACATATTCAAAAGAGAAGAATGCTTCACTTTCTAAAGCTTTCCCCTTCCATTCCCCACTCTGCCTGTGCGGATCCATTTCTGCCTCATTAGAATAAGCAGTTTTTCTACCCTCTGCTCCCGCCAGGAAAGGTCTGGCCAGGCCCTGCCTCTCATACCCCAGCCCTCCTGACCACTTAAAAGATAATAAACCACTTATTGAGTTATAATTCACGTACCGTGCAATTCACCCATTTAAAGTATAGAACTCGGTGGCTTCTAGAACATTCAGAGTTGTGCAACCATCACCACTATCTAATTCCAAAACATGCTCGTCTGAAAAAGAAACCCTGGACCCATTAAGCAGTCACTCCCCATCGCTCTCCCCCCAGCCCCTGGCACCCACTAATCTATTTTCTGTCTCTACGGATTTGCCTCTTCTTGACATTATATGTAAATGGACTCATATAATATATGGTCTTTGGAGTCTGGCTTCTTTCACTCGGCAGAATGTTTAAGGTTCACCTACGTTGTAGCGTGGATAAGCCAGGACTTCATTCCTTTTCCTGGCCAAATAATATTCCACCGTGCGGATGCACCACGCTTGCTCTCCCACTCATCGGCTGTTGGACACTTGGGTCGCTGCTACCTTTGGGCTGTCATCAGCGTGCTGCCGTGAGCATCCGTGCACAAGTCTTGGTGTGCATGGGCGTGCTCCTTCCTCGTGGGCCGGTGCCCTTGCCATTCTTCAGAACTAGATGCATCAAGCATCAAGGCCTGGTGGGCCTGTACGCCAGACAGTGGCATTGTGCCCAGTTCCCTCAGGCCCAGCCCGACTCCCACGTCTGAGCTCTCTGTCCCCAGGCTTGGCTCTCAGTCCCTTTGACGCTGCCCTCTGCAGGTGGCTGAGATCCGGGTTGAGGTGGAGCTGCGGGACGAGATTCTGCCCAGAGCCCAGAATATCCAGAGCCGTCTGGACCGACAGACCATCGAGACAGAGGAGGTACGAGTGGCCCGGCCCAGGGTGGGGGACAGGGGCTTGGAGACAAACGGAGCCAGGTGGCCATGGCTTCCCCTCCCTTTTCTTTCCGACTTGGACTTCTCGACCCTCACCTGTCCCCAACTTCTTCCTGCTCTGGACTTCCTGTCCCCTCCCCAGGTGAACAAGACTTTGAAAGCCACGCTGCAGGCCCTGTTGGAGGTGGTGGCATTGGAAGACGGGGACGTGCTTGACTCCTTCCAGGCCAGTCCCTCTACCGAGTCTCTCAAGTCCACCAGCTCGGACCCAGGTGCCCGGCAGGCTGGCCGGAGGCGGGGCCAGCAGCAAGAGACCGAGACCTTCTATATCATGGTGGGGAGGGCCGGGCTGGGGCGGGGGGGCAGGAGTGGGGCACAGGGAGGGCCTGGAGCCAGGACTAAGACTTTGTGCTCTTTTTGGGGGCTTCCCAGAAGCTGCAGGAGTATCTGAGTGGACGGAGTATCCTTGCCAAGCTGCAGGCCAAACATGAGAAACTGCAGGAGGCCATTCAGCGAGGTGGGTCCCACTCCTGGCTCCTTTGGTCCCTTCCACCTCCCCCCAGGGCCAGGAGAACCCCATCCAGCCCTGCTCCTCTCTGCCCAGAGAGGTAGGTTGGCATACAGGAAATAACCCAGCAGGGGTCATGGACTCTATTCCACCCTCCGCCCTACCGCCACCCTTGGCCTTCGGGCGAGCCTTTCTCTCTGGGGTGCGTTGAGGACCTCCTGGCCTGAGAGGCACACTAATGTTTTCTGTTCTCCAGGTGACAAGGAGGAGCGGGAGGTGTCTTGGTGAGTCCTTCATGAGGAGCTGGGGTTCTATAGGGGCTGGGGTTCTGACATCCCCTCCTCCCCTCTCCTCGGGGCCCAGCTCTTCTGCTCATTCCTCTGTGAACTCAGTTTCCCACTTTGCCCAGTGGGTTCTAGAATAATTTAAAAGCTCCAGGGCCCTGTTTAGTTGGGCTGGGGGTGTGTGGCATCCTATTCTCCATGCCCGAAATGCTCAGAGCCAGCTTCCATTCACCACAGGACCCAGTACACACAGAGAAAATTCCAGAAGAGTCGCCAACCCCGCCCCACCTCCCAGTATAACCAGAAACTCTTTGGGGGAGACATGGAGAAGTTTATCCAGGTACTTGCTTTGCCTCGTGCTCCAACTAAGTATAAGACCTCCCCCTGCATTGTGGTCTCTCTCCAACCCTGGACCACCTCTGAGATCAGGCTACCTGTGACCCCAGTGTCCACCGTTGCCAACCACTGGTCAACCCACCTTCCTGGGCGGGCGTTTGTCAGGCCTCCACTGATCAAAGGGAATGTCCTTAACTAGTAATATCCATCTACAGAAAGCCTCAGGCAGCAGCCATCATTTGCCGTGATGTGATTATGTATGTAAATATTCGAAAGAGTCCACGAACTATTTAAATGAACGAATTCGAGTTTTGCAATGCTACTCGATTTGAGGTCAACATACAGAATTGGATTACGTTTTCACATGCCAGCAATGAACAGTTAGCAAGTAAAATCTAAGGCTCTGCCTAAAATGACACCAGGGACAGCAGACACCTGGGAGCGAATCTTGCAAGCCACGTGCCTGTCCTCATTGCATTGTTAAGAGAAAATAAAAGCGAGCGAATGACAAGGAGGGGCTTGCCGTGTCCAGAGTGAAGTGAACACCCTCTTTGTCCCCAGAGCTCGGGCCAGCCTGTGCCCCTGGTGGTGGAGAGCTGTATCCGCTTCATTAACCTCAATGGTAAGCCTGGCATCCGGTCCCTGGCACCCATTTAGAGGGGTTGGAGAGGGGACTCGGTACCCACCGGCTCTTTGTCCTCCCGCAGGCCTGCAGCATGAGGGCATCTTCCGAGTGTCGGGTGCCCAGCCCCGGATCTCAGAGATCAGAGACGCTTTCGAGAGAGGTGAGGACAGGCAGGGTGGGGTGGGGGTAGGGGACTAACTAGAGCGGGTGTGATTGGCCTTCTTGCCCCTTGCATCGTCCTCAGGGGAAGACCCACTGGTGGAAGGCTGCACGGCCCATGACCTGGATTCGGTGGCAGGTGTGCTGAAGCTGTACTTCCGGAGCCTGGAGCCCCCACTGTTCTCCCCCAACCTGTTCGGAGAGCTTCTGGCTTCCGCGGGTAAGGCCAGGGCCTAAGGCCAGCCAGGCGGGAGGGGCCGCTCCTCAGTGGCCGTGACCGCACTTACGTCCTTCTCTCCTGGGTGGTGGCCTTGGCCACAGAGCTGGAGGCCATGGAAGACCGGGTGGAGCTTGTGAGCCGCCTCCTGGCCCTGCTGCCTGGACCGGTGCTGGTGGTTCTGCGTTATCTCTTCACCTTCCTCAACCAGTGAGCGCTTCTCAGGGGGTCGGGGCATCTGATGTGGGGGCTGCAGGGGATCCCAAGCAGGGAGCTCCCTGCTGGTGACCTGCATGTGCCCTCAGCCTGGCCCAGTACAGCGATGAGAACATGATGGACCCCTACAACCTGGCCGTGTGCTTCGGGCCGACGCTGCTGCCCGTGCCCGCTGGGCAGGACCCGGTGGCCTTGCAGGGCCGGGTGAACCAGCTGGTGCAGACGCTCATCCTGCAGCCCGCACGAGTTTTCCCACTTCTGACCCTGCTGCCAGGCCCCGTCTACGAGAAGTGCATGGCACCGCCTTCCGCCAGCTGCCTGGGGTACGCTCTTTGCGCTGCCTGCGGCGGGGGGGTGTCCAACGGCGGGGAGCCCCGTTGACCGCTCATGTGCCTCTCTCTGCTCTGGACCTCAGGGACACCCAGCCGGAGGGCCTGGCGGGGGAGAACGAGCCGGAGCTAGAAGCTGGAACCCCGACCCAAGAGGATGGTGAGGGGGGTGGGAAGGAAGAGCCCACTCTGTCCCAATCTTGGGGGTTCAGTGCACCCCCCCACTCAGACCTCCTCTTCTCCTCAGTCCCGGAGGGCGTCGTGGAGGCCGTGGCCTGCTTTGCCTACACGGGCCGCACGGCCCAGGAGCTGACCTTCCAGCGAGGGGATGTGCTACGGCTGCACGAGCGGGCCTCAGGCGACTGGTGGCGGGGCGAGTGCGTGGGCACCGGCGCCCGGGGCCTCATTCCTCACAAGTACATCACACTGCCCGGGGGGTGAGTGAGTGCCCCATGCTGCCCGGAGGCTCTCCACAGCTTCTCTTCCACTCCGGTCCTAACCCTTCCCCGACCCGGGTCCCAGCGTCTGTCGGCATGCTGTGCGCGTTTCTGACCACTTCTGGCTGGCACTGAGACGCAGAGCCTGCTGGCCCTCAGACCCCTAAACAGGCTGTCCTTCTGACCCCAGGGCAGAAAAGCACTTGAGCCAGGGGTCGCCGGCTGCAGGGGACCTGCTGAGTAGTCCAGAGGGCCTCCTGGAGTCTGTTCATCGGTGAGCAGGAGGAAGCTGGCCCCTCGGGAAGACCCCTTCTGGTGGCCTTACTTGCCTACCCCCTTCCCCAGCACTGCTCTGGGGGCTCAGCCTGTCCCAGGCAGCAGACACTGGGCCAGGCTGGAGGGGGCTGGTGGTGGCTTTTGGGCACAAACAGAAGGGCCTAGTAGGGGGAGAGTTGTCCAGGTAGGGGATGACAAAGGACAGAATGGGCCCACTGGGCCAGCCTCTCTGTCTTCTCTCCCTCGGCCACTCCCTGGGACAGGAGGAGCCACTGCCAGGTTAGGGCTGGGACTTCCCAGGATCCCCTCCAGGCTCAATATCTGTGCCCTGCAGGCCAGAGCCATGCACCCCACCCGGGGGCCCTTCTGGGCACAGACGGCACTGCTTGGTCCCAACCTCCCCAGAGCGACATGTGGAGGTGGATAAGGTGAGAGCCGAGACTGGATGAGTGGCAGGTGGGGGCATCTCTCCTGCGGCGGGGAGTCTCTGCCTCCCCTTATGAACTAAACCGTTCCCGCTAGAGGTTCAAGTCTGCCCTTCCTGGCCTCAGACAGGCTGGTTAAGCCCAGCCCAGGGAGGGGCAGGCGGCAAGGGCATAAGTGCAGGGGGACACGTGGGCTCATGCATTTGGGCTTTGTGGCTGGTTCTTGAGTGGGAAGTGGTGGGTGGTGTGGGCGAGGGGCTGCTGGGCAGGCTTCAAGGTTGCCGTCTAGAGCCGGGCCAGATGACAGGTGGTGACATGGCAGGAGCTTGGTGGGCCAGGGTGAATAAAAGGGACAGATGGGGAGCCGGGCAGAACAGTGGTTCTCACAGAGAGAGAGAGAGGGCGCTGCATGCGGCCCCACCAAGGGGTGCAGCCCTGGGATACCCGAGCCCTGCTCTGTCCTATGGTCCCAGTGTGCCCACCTGATTGGTGCTCCCTGCTCCAGCTGATGCGGAGGCCCTGGGGACAGTCTGTGCCCGAGGAGAGAGCTTGAGAACACATGGTGTCCCAGGCGTGGCCCAGTGGTCAGGCCTGGGAGCCCGGGACAGGGGGGTGAGCTGGGCCACCAGGAGGCAGGGCAGCCAGGAGACCCCAGGGGAGGTGGACAGCAGGTGAGGCTGGATGGGGTGCAGGTGGATACTGACTTGGGTGGCCCCTGAGGTCATGGGGGGTGGCTGTGATCTCAGACAGGGAGAGAGTGGGCACTAGGAGAGGGGTGGCCGGGACCCAGCTAGAGGTTTCCCAATATCAAGAATGGGCTGAAGATCGCTGTCACTAAAAGAGGCCATGAGTCACACCAAAAGTGGCAGGAGAGAAACTGGGCAAAGGAGGGGCAGCAGCTGCGGGCCCATAGAGAACAGGGGCCTGGTGACAGGGTGGTGGCAGAGGACTTCATGGTGACAGGGCGGTGGCAGAGTTCTCGTGGAAGCTTGGGCAGCAGAGGGTAGGAAGGCCTCGTTCCTAGGTTAGTTGGCAATACACTGACCGGGGGGTGGAGGCGGTGGCTGGGTGGGGCGGGGGGACAGTCCCACCAGAAGCCGTCCCTTTCTCACCTCTCTGCCAGGCCGTGGCACAGACCATGGACTCGGTGTTTAAAGAGCTCTTGGGAAAAACCGCTGCCCGCCAGGGCCTTGGGCCAGCAGCCACCAACTCCCCCAGCTCCGGGGCCCGCAGCCCGAAGCCTCCAGGCTGCAGCCGCCTTGGCAAGAACAAAGCCTCCTGAGGCCCCCAGACCCCAGCGAGGCCAGCCTCACCCTCAGCATCGCAGCCCCAGGGCCTGGACTCGCCCCTCAAGCCGGGGCCGCACTGAGGTGCTGCCGGCTCTTCTGTGGGCCCCGCCTCACCCTAAGCAGCCAGTGGTGAGACGGGCCACCCTCCCCAGGCCCTTTGCTTCTCCTTGGCCCTGTCCAGCAAGCACTGAGCACTTACTCTTGACCTTTTGCAGAGAGGAGAACGTAGCTGCCCAAATGATGCCCTTGCCCGCCCCCAGCCCTGGCTTAGACCCGTTTGGGAGGCAGCCCAGGAAGGAGGCTGGGGGCGGGCCCCTCCCTGGCTTTGCTGTGAGGGCTTATCAGTGGCTGTTGGGTGACAGGTACCCTTGCTCAGATGAGCAGGCCTGCCAAGTGCCCAGGCCCGTGTCTGCCTTAGCCGAAGGGGTAAGGCCGACAGAGGTTCACAAGCATTGGTAGGCATTCATAAAGACTTGTGCATTGACTCCCCTACATGAGCCAATTCTCTTGTCTTGGGGGGACCAGACAGGTGGGTACAGGGCCAAACCCTGGCACAGTCAGTCGCTCCTTGGGCTGGATGCCAGGGTGCTCAGCAAAGGCACCAGGTCGGGGGACTGGAACAGCTTATGCCCGGGGGTAGGGGGTGGCTTGGCACAGGGCCGTGTGGGTTGAGGATCTGCACCTTTGAAGCTTCAGTCACCCGTGTCCTGGGTCCCAGAGCTGTGTACTGAGAATGTTTTTCCATGCCACCCTCACACGCGCTGTCTGATCCAAGGACACTCACCGGGTGGAAAACGAGCTAAAACTTTTATTAGGGAGACTGAGAAGGGTGGGCAGAGAACTACAGAGGTGGGAAAAACGTCCCCTGGGCTCCCTGGGACCTCCGTGTCACGAGCACGGACTGGGGTGGAAGCCGTGGGCCACCACCATGCTGCCGCAGCCCCCCCTCCCTAAGAACTGACCTCTGAGGCCTCTCACAATCCGGAGGCAATTCCCAGGGGGCTGCCCTCTCACGGTGGCTCCCAGGGCCAGCCCCCGGCAGGCAGCTGAGCTGTGTGGAGCCTCTGGAAGGAAGGCGCCCCTTGGCTTCTCAGGAGGAAGTGTCCTTGGCCAGGAAGGAGCTGGCAGTGGCGCAGGACTCCTCTTGGGGCCCCAGGCTGGGTGGGGTGCGCCTCCAAGGGAAGCACAACAGGCTGCGCAACTCCGAGGAGACGCTGCTGCTGAAGGCGGCGTAGATCCAGGGGTTGGTACAGCTGTTGAGGCTGGCCAGAAGCATGAGCAGCACAAACGGCGGCCCTGTGTGGGTGGACAGAGCCCAGGCAGGGTTGTGACTCCAAATGCCCGCTAGGGGCTACTGAGCCCACCGCTGCGTGCGTGTGTGTGTGTGTGTGGGAGGGGGGTGGAGGTGCATGCGTAGCCAAGCCCACTGCTCCCCATAACCCTAGCCACAGCGACACCAACCTTCCCGAGGCGCCTCCGGGTCCCACGCTGCCCACAGCTGCACAAGGAAGAAAGGTGCCCAGCACAGCACGTAGACAATCACAATCACCAACGTCATCCTCACGGTCTTGGCCATGGCTGCCGACACCCGAGCTCCCTCGCCGGAACTGCCTGTCTGGCGCCCTCCTCGGCGCCCCCCTCGGTGGCCCCTAGCCCTCTCGACTGGCCCCGGTAACAGGCTGGTATGAATCTCCCGGAAGATGAGCACCTGACAGGCAGCGATGCCCAGGGCGGGTGCCACAAACACCATTAAGGCAATCCAGGTGACGTAGGCACGGAGTCCCCAGGGTTCGGCAAAGCGGGCCCAGCAGTCAATGACCCCGCTGCCATCTCCCACTTCGCGCTGGGCAAAGATGAATAGCTGGGGCAGGCTGAGAAGGAGTGAGAAGACCCAGGCCACCAGCACCGGCCGGTTCCAGTGAGCTCCACCTCCGTGGCGGTATGCCAACATGGGGCGGCAGATGGCGCGATGGCGGTCCAAAGTCATGGCCAGGATCATGTAGGAGGAGGCATACATGCCCACCATCTGCAGATACTTGACGGCCCGGCACAGGGCATCGGGCCCATGGAAGCGGTCGGTGGCATCCCAGGCCACTTGGGGCAGCACTTGGAACAGGGCCACAGCCAGGTCGGCCAGGCACAAGTGGCCGATGAAGACGTGCATAGGAGCCCAGCGGCCCCGCCGGCCCCGCCGCACTAGGGCCGCCAGCACCAAGCCATTGCTCAGGGCCACAGCCACGAAGATCGTGGAGAGCAGGGCCAGCTCCGCCTGGGCTAGCAGCGGGTCCCGGGGATCCACAGGCTCCTGCTCGCTGCTGTTGCCAACTGGGAGAGGCTGAGAGAGGAGCCAGGGCACAGCTGGGCAAGAATGGGGGGAGAGGGCCGAGTTAGGGAGCACGCTCTGCAGGGGGAGCAGAGCCCAAGGAGGTTCCA